ACATTACAAAGAGTGGAACACCATAAGTTAAGAGAGAAAAGTGTGGACCTTCTTATAAAGTTGTATATGTGGATATAATAAAAGTAAATTAACCCAGAGTGCTTGTTATTAATTAAAACCGTTAATGCACTCGATATGAAATCAGTGCCATGTATAGAATTTTCATTGACTGAGTAGTCTAGTAGTAGTACTTAAGAATTTTTCACATTTCACCTCACCTCTCAGTCGTCTGCTATAAGCTCCCGACTTTTGAGCTAAAATGCTATTGAAAGATTCTCAAAATATCATGGACAAAGAAGAGAAGAAACACTAACATTCTAACAGATCTAAACATCAAGGAAGATTGCCTAATAAACAGCATCCAATCTCGGAAACTGAAATATTTTGGTCATATCAAGCACAACAATGGATTGTAAAAAAATAGAAGCAGTTTTTTTCAGACAGACCATGATGAGAGCGATGTTCTGCAAGGGACCTGCTAGATGATGATAATGAAGCGCCGTCTATAGCACTTAAACCTCCCTAAGACAGATGACAAACTTACTGGTGTTATAAATAATGTATTGTGCCCTGAACTGATAAAAGATATGGCTATGGAATACATAAAACATCTAATAAAGGGTCAGCTTCCAGTTTTAAAAAGAAAAGATAACAAGCTACGAATAGGATTATACATTTCACAATGGAAACTAAAGAGAAACTAAACATATCTGAAAATCTACCAACTTTACTGCAGAAATGATTGCTGTACTGAAAGGTCTTGAAATGGTACATGGCAACCCTCCCAAACATATCACAGTTTTAACGGACTCACTATAAACTTTTCAGGCTTTCAAACAAATTGTCAAAAATATGTAGCAGACCAGAATTGATAGAAGAGATGTCACTGGCTACTACATATCTAAACACAAGAGGATGCTGAGCTCTAGTAGTATGGATAACTGCTCATGTGGGAATACATGGTCATTAAATTGCAGATAGAGACGGAAAAAATGGTAGATCCAAATAGAAATATACTGTTAATGTAAGTATGAGCAGAGGGGACATGAAATCACTAATTAAAAATGTATATCAGATAAATGTTCCTAAACTGGGACTAAAGCCTGAAGGGTATACAGTGGAGTCTGGATAAGTAGAAGTTCTAGGGACTTAGAGAAATTGTTCTACTTATCCAAAATTCTACCTATCCAGATAGCCGACATAGTGCAGAGAGTGTAAACAAATAACATGGCCGGGACTAAGCTGACCTTGTCGACTTAAGCGAAATTCGACTTATCAGAGTTTGACTTAAGAAGACTCGACTGTAATTTGTTAAATGCTCCTAAAAGACAAATTCAGATAACAAATGAACTTAAAATACCATGCAATCTAGACTACAACTTGCATAGGGCTGCTCTACCATAAGGAAGAGACCTGTTGTCAGTGCGAGAAATACATTAATATAGAGCACTATTTACTGGAGTGTAGGAAATATGAAAGCCAAAGAAAACCATTAACTGGCTTCATGAATCTCGGTAAATTAGCTATGATGATTGAAAACTTGTTGCAGATACACAGCCCCAGACACCTGCGAGGCAAGGTCAAGAAATGTATTACTAAAACTAAAATCCATATATAGAAGGATGAAGAATTCCCTTGCCATCTTTGAAGAAGTTTTCCCTGAAGATAAAATCGAGGAGAATAATCAACTATTTCACTAAGAGAATAATAAATCCAACACATTAATGACACAATGTTAGTAAGATGGTCTAATTATTCATGGTATAGTTTCTATCATAATCATAACTCAAATCAAAGTATGTGAAATAATACAAATTACTTATCGGTCATTTAAATAATTATGGGAAATATAAATATAAAATAACAAATATGTACTCCTCTGAAAACTTAACACTGTATATCAAAATTATAACCCTGAGGGTTGAACAGAATATTTTTGAAAAAATATTACTACTACTACTCTACTACTAATCAATGACCACACACAAAAGTGACACATGTCTCTTTCTGATGTTTGTATTTTAACCCCTTGCCCTTGTAATGCTAAAACAGTTTGACAATTCCAGAACAATATATTCCGCATGGCCTAAAAGTATATATATTAAGTGGCTCATGCTGTCACCCCTTGGGTTCTGTTACTGAAGCTTATAGAAAAGGGTTAACGGAACTTAGTTATTTAAAAAAACTAATTTGTTTTAAGGAACTTCCACCCCAAATGCTATTTTTAGTTAATTTATTCACATTCTGCCCTCAAATATATTTGCGCAGGCATAAACAAAGCCAATAGCATTAATTTTATGTCTCGTAAACAGGTCACTATAGACAAGTAGGAAAAGTTACATTTACAGGGGATTGGTCCCAACTGGAGGTGTCTGTTTCTCCCATCTGGGTTCCAGGACCCCAGTCTTGGAAAAAACACTTCCTTCCGAACAAGCATATCATAAGAGTAGACTAATTGGGGGCTTCCTTCGAAGTCAGTGCATTTATCTGAGAGGCAAGTAACAAGTACTCTGCACACATATAAATCAGATCTGTAAAACTTATTTGCATGCAGTACTCAGCGTCTGGAACAAGACTAAAGTCTAGAGGTGGACAAACAACCAGAACTTGTGCCAGAGTTTACATCCGATGAGCTCAAAGAAGAAGTGTCAGTTTTTTCCTTCTCATTTCGATAGGGTTATAAGTTGAATCACAATGATATGATGTAGAAAATTTACAGGATGCTTACCTTAAACAGTAGTTCAGGATAGAACTTCAAGAAGTAGAAATGATAATTGATACATTTTATAAAACTGTCAGATTAGCAGGGGAGCAAATATTAAGATACAGGTTATCAAAGAAAGAGCAGTCAATTTCTTAATTAGTGTTATAGAAAATTGCACATTTGAAAGAGCTTCAAAGATAAATGTTAAATTCAAAGTCACCCAGATTGAATTAAACATTTTCTGCAGAATATGCATAAAAGAATGTTGAGGTTAAAAAGTTAGATGCGTATCCTTTACAGGAAGTTGCAGAACCAACCCCAGCATTTTTTATATGTTGTGGTTTTTCTATGCACATTTACATCCAGTAGTTTGCCATTGTTTTCTGGGCGGTCGCCTTCTTGATACCACTGTCAAAACCAACGCAAGGCCTGCAGCTGGGATCCAACCCAGCACCTCGGCATTACGAATGCACATGTAACGCCTAAGCAACAGACGCCGACAAGGTTAAAACAGGTGCAAATACAGATAAAGGTTCCTGAAGGAAAAGCTAGTAAAAGAAGCAGCAGATAAACAAACCAGGGGACCATTTTATAATATACACAAGAAACTTAAAGTAAATGTGGTATCATTTCAAAAGTTACCTCTGAAACAAAGAACTGAAAGATTAAAAATAGGAAAGGTGAACACTTCCAGGAGTTACTAAACTGTCCAGGACCATTTTATAATATACACAAGAAACTTAAAGTAAATGTGGTATCATTTCAAAAGTTACCTCTGAAACAAAGAACTGAAAGATTAAAAATAGGAAAGGTGAACACTTCCAGGAGTTACTAAACTGTCCAGACCCACATGTACTTGCTGATATATCAGAGGCTGGGGTGATCTTCGAATGAGCACACATCAATTTGCAGAGGCGGAGTTAAGGAGGCTATTAAAAAAATACATTTAAATTAAAGCTCAAAAAGCTAACAAAACACATGAGAACGATGAACTTTGCTGAAAGTAGAGGAGATAGAAACACCAAATCTGCTGTGGAAGAACGTTCAAGAAATCTGGAATTAGCAAGAAACTCTTTTAGAATGAGAAAACTACCATTGTCGAACTACCAAAGAAAGAAGACTTGGGACACTAGTAACTGGAGAGAAATCACACTTCTATAATAAATAATAATAATAAATGCAGTCAAAGCGGTTTACCTAATTTCAGTATAAGGTAGTTTGCGATAATCTTATAGCAGAAAGTTTCATTGTCAACACTCAGGTTAGGCAAGCATATACACTATAACTTTTGGGGGTGGGGTGAATGTTAAACCTAGCTGATGAAAGAAGTTAACAAGAGATAGAAACAGAGGTATCAGATAGTCACTTACCTCAGTTATAGAGGATAAAGTCTGTGCAAATGATATCAGTCTTATATCAGTCCATCTGCTATGCGGATGCTCCGGCTTTGAAGGAAACACCTCAGATTAGTCCACTTTCACCACATGTTAGGGAGTGTAGTGGGGCCACTGCAGTTCATCATTGTTGGAAACAGTGATTACAACAGATGTGCAGTTCCACACACAATACTGTCTGTACAAGGCTGTATCAGTTCTACGACAGCAGGCCACTTAGCACCATTATCTGTATATGCAGTTTACAAGACGAACCCCTATGGGCGCAGCCCAAAAAATGGCATTCAGAATGAAATCTGCAATTGTCACACCATGCACTCAGCTATGTGGCTGTGCAATGGAACTGTATGCTTTCCATCCACGTAACAGCCAGCAATAGCTAGAAACACATAACATGACAAAATTAAAACTGTCTGCCTGCTTATCCGCCATATTGGACTGGAACAAGTGGTAAATACAGCCCATAAAGACATTTCAGATTTTATAAAACTAATCATATTCATAATGGAGAGAATGCCTTCTGATTCTATACCATTCAAGGCAATAACCAAAACAGGAGAGAAACATAGAGCAAGAGGTAGACTAAGAACAACATGGAAAGATAACATTAGAGAAACTCTACAGTACCACGATGTGTCTATGGTCAAAGCAGCCAGTAGAGTACGAAGCAGGAACATATCTCATTTGACACCCGAAGCGTTAAAAGAGAATGTAAAGAAGAATCATATTTATAGTAGCGGACACGAAACGCAAATTATAAACATCATGTACATTTTGTTTCATTACAGTAAATCAGTATCACGGACAAGGTACATACAAATCACCAGAAGCAGTGTTTATCAAGAGACTTCATCTTTTTGTTTTCAACTTGAAGAGGTCAAGTCAGCTGTTCACACAGAGCAATGTCCATTGTTTCACACAGTTTGCGCAGGCTGGTCTCACTGTCAGCTCCCATTGTGCAGTCAGCCAATGTATGTATTTTTTAAGGTTTAGTTTGGGCACCTTTAATGCAGTAAGCTAATTAATGCGCACCTTGTCATTTTAGTAACTTTAACCTTGTCACCTCACAAATGCTTAAAAAAAATATGTAAATTTATCTGGATTTGAAATTTTTTTGGAATATATGAAGGGGTTGTCAAAAAACATGAACAGGATGAAGCGTTAAATGGAATAAATTTCCCACGACTAAAAACAAATATGTATCGGGGAAACTCATGCCGTGACCTATATCACTGATGCATACGGGCAAATTTGACATCAGCTTGAGTTTCAGAAAGCAGTTGGGGTCATAAGTAACCCCTCACACCCGCTCCCAAATGCTATTTTTAGTTGTACATATACTGGCCTATTTAATGCTCCACAGACACACTCATGACCAACAGAATTTAACTACGTTTCTTGAGAACAGGTCACTGAAGACATTGGCATCTCCAGGACTGAGTTATAACCAGAAGTGACTATATTTAGTCTTCTGGGCGCAGAAGGGTTATACTACCAGCCAGCCATGTACCTTTTTTTAAAATGACTTTTGTAACCTTTAAGCAGTCAGCCAGTTAAATACTTACTGTCATTTTCTGTTAAATACTTACTGTCATTTTCTCTTAGATGCTTATTGTCGTTTAATTGTCATTTTCTGTTAAATACTTACTGTCATTTTCTTTTAAATACTTATTGTCAATGTTTGTTAAATACTTACTGTCATTTTCTCTTAAATACTTATTGTCCTTTTCTATAACCTGAAAACAATGAGCCAGTTGGGGGGCTGCGTGGTCTGGAGGTATGATGTCCGCCTCAAGTGCTAGAGGTTCTGGGTTCAGTACCCCAAGGACTGGAATTTTTTTTCACCAGGACTTGGACGTAAAAAATTCCTTGGCAGTTAGAAATAAAAAAGAGTAGCATAACTGCACTGCCCGGGCAAAATTTTGAGTTTAAAATCTACCCAAAGTATTTCAGGATCCTCGCCGGTGCTACAGAGCCTGTGCACTGTGCTGAGCTTCTTCTGACTGAGACTTGAGTTAAAAGAAGAATGGAGCACTTAGAGTTACTACCCATGTGCCATGATGTTGATCCGTTGTTCAAAAACCAAAACAATCAGCCAGTTGCAAATTCTTTTAAGGCAGTTACAACAAACTTATAGAATATATAGTGTATTGAAGGTTGTCCTTTAAAGCTGTGTCATAAATTATTCTTTCGTATTGATTGCTGTTACATTTTAATTAAATTTTTTTTTTTTTTTACAAATTTGCGGAGTTTGGCAAGGGCACATGCTCTCTCACCCTCTCAGTCTCCCCTCCCCCTATACACCTCCATGTTCATGCACACAGTCTGCCTTAAATTACCAATCACACACCATCAGTAGTTGCGTACAATTTAATTTATACAGTGTAACAAATAAAGTATGATTCCCGGTGCTATTTCCTAATTTCTTGGTTTTAAACTTACTTACTTACTTACTTACTTAGTCGCTCCTCTTCTACCTTGGGGTGTAGAGGTTTGCCAGAGAGATCACCTGACGTCTCTATCAGCAGTTTTCTTTCTTGCTTTATTCCACTCCACTCCTCTGTCAGTTAGGGACTGTCAGATGTTGTCTTCCCGGTGCACCCTGGGCGGCCCTGGAGGTCTGGTTCCCTGTTGGTTTTAAACATGAATAATTATTTAGCTTGTAAAAGTAAGTAAATATTCTTGTTAAAATCTATGTTTTTTGTGTGTGAAAGCTAAGCACCCATGAAAAGCTTATAAGAGGAAGTATCAGATAAAAACAGAATATTGAAATTGAATATTAAGTTCCCAAGTAAAGGACCCCTTTCCTGCCGTTTAAACTTTGAGCATGTGATGCAAAGACTCATAATTTATATAATAAACTGCCACTTGAGGGAGGGTGTATCAGCATCATGCCAGCCACCTTTACTTCCAAAGACATTTCCTGGTGTCCTATATTAGGCTGAGGTGACTAAGTTCAATTTTTTGGTGGGTTGGTTTTTTAAGATTTTTGTGTGGATTTTAATCTATGATTTTTGGTTGGGTAGTCAAGCAGCTTGTCACTGCTCTGTCACAGCTGCTTTTTAGGACAAGTAGGCTTGGTCAATACATGTAGGCAAGATATTTGAGGTAGGGTCAATTTGGTATCCTCACTGGAGTTGTGATGTTCATGCTTAGTGCACCGCTTTCGGCATATGGTTAGCTGTTTTGCGGGGAGAGACCTAGCCATTTGGGATAAAACCCAGTGCAATACAATGGTCAATCTTCTCAACTTGAGCCTTTAAACTAGAATCCTTTGCAGCAGTTGAGTATGCATTTTTTTTTCTGGTTGAATATGGTTCCTCTGCATTTATCTGTAAAAGGATGAGTAGCACATTGTGTTGTGGTTTGCAGCTAGACTGTGAGATCTGCTTCTTTCAGCCCAACGTATCTTACTTGAGCAAACTCTCACTTAAAAGCCTTGTGCAATATACTTCTTAAGGGGTAAGGTAAATGTGGAATCAAACCTAAGACTTTCGTGTCAGCTGATGAGCATCTAGCTACTACACTAACACGGCTCCCTAAGAGGGTAATGGGTCTGTTCAACCCCTCCCCCCACCTCCCCAAATGGAACACTAGGACACATAGGCAATGAATATAGTTATGAAGTAGATGTAATTCAAAAAGGTCAGATCTGATGGTAGTACACACTCTTGCCTGCCAGCCAGGGCTAAAATCCACATTAGGGATGACCAGTTAAATCTGAAAATCAGTGTGTTGGGCCAGTAGGTCTACATATTGTAGTCTAGCTGTAAATGAGAACACAGCATGCCAAGCACCCTCTTAGCGGCAAGCGCACAGAAGAAAAGGTAAATACTGAGATTATATTTATTTTTTTAAGCTGACTGGTTTTTTCCTGTCCTCCTCAGGTCCACTTTGATGACTATTATCTTCAGAATCAGCACAGGAGCTTCTCATTATCATCATCATCACCTAGGTTATCATCTGCCAGCAAGCAGTTACACCCTGGCGTCTTTTACAATGCAGTCAGAGATTCCAACATTAACTTCTTCTGTGGGGTTCCAGACTCCCTGCTAAAAGGTTGTTTATCTTTTATCTTACCCTTTTTAGTGGTGCAGTAAAAGATAACTCGTAGTATGGAAGTTATTGAAAACCCTTACCTAGGGAATGATGGGGGGGGGGGGGGTGTCTGCAGGCTCTGGGCGCCACTCGATACTAGAGGGAAAAGCCAGGAGGGGTGTTTAACCAGATGATAGTGAGTACCATTAGATTGCAGACTCTTCGCTGGCTGTTGAGGAGGTAGATGGTGCTGATATGTTCTTGTTCTAAAAGGAAAAGTCGGGAGATGTGAACCAGCATCATTGCACATAGTTATAAACCATAAGTGCTCTGCCACCAGTACGGACACTGAAAAAAAAATCTGTTACCCTATGTCACTGTCCGCTCGAAACTCCGTTTCTCCATTTATCCCAGAGTGCCAACTCTGGGACCCGTTACCTAGAGAAGAGGCTGGGAGAACCCCAGGAACCGCCCGGTTTCGAACACCGACCGTGGGCTGCAGCGAGTCGCAGCTGGTTCTGAAAGTGAGTTTCCTATCGACTGCACTAACGTGGCTCCTCTGTGGTCTTGTTATGAATGCTGTGATGTTGAATCAAAACCCATATGGACCCAGTAGTGCAATGATTGCCATGGTTGTGGTTGTGCCCTCATCAAGGCCCCCCTCCCCCCCCCCCAAAAAAAAAAGGAATTTGATCTTGACTACCAGGTCAACCTTTGTTGTTGATTATTCTACATACATATGCAGTGCACACACATATATATGATTTGCACCATGTACCCAGAAGGGATTAAGGCATTGAATAGGGTCTTTCACTGCTTGTTTGTCCTTTATCAGACTTTGAGGGAACCCTTGGAGACTTGCTGATGACATGATGTCTCATGGAGAGCTGTTAACCTGAGCGTATGAAACTGATCACAGAGAAGAAGAAGAATTTCACACCAAATACCCAAAATAAACTTTACTCTAAAAGGCATAAGTATCACATTCAATGATACAATATATACTGCTTTTATGTTGAAATATCCAGCCAGATTTCTTGAGTGTGTTTGGGCCACATGTGAAAGTTGTAACAATACACAGATTAATGTACACTGATAACAGCTGAATACACGTGGTGTATTTGCTTGCGATAGAATGAATTATAAACCCTGGGAGGAATCATGAAATGACTGATTATGTTGTTGCTTATGTAACTAATATTCCAGCACCTTGTACCATTACAGCTGTGTGCCTGGAGGTTTGAGGAAAAACAGTTCTGGTTTCTTTATATAAACTACTTCACTGCCAATATTTAACAGATAGAAATTTGTCCTGGTGGAGGGGGCGGGGGTGTTGACTAACAAGTGAAGCACTAAAAAAATACATGTAGCCTTTAAGCTGTATATAATGGTTGTGCAGGAAACATATATTAGAAGTATCAGTTTCATTCAAAAGAAAAAGCTGAAAGAATTGAAAAGTTGATTTGTCAATGTCAACAAATAAAGGTCTAAAGTAAAGGACCCTTTTCCACGCCTTTAGACGTATAGAGCATATAGGGCTAGACCTATATTTTTATAGACCAATCTGCACAAGATGGGTGATGTGGTCACACCGGCCGCCTTTACTTCCCGGTACTGTAACCGGTACTCACTCAAAGCTCGGTCGACCTGAGGGCAAAAGTCGTTTTTTTAAAAAGTCTGACTTCACCACGGAGCGAAGCCACGACCTTCTGATCCACTCACAAGCATCTAGTCGCTAGGCCATGGTGACTCCCACATAAAGGCGTAAAATAATATTTTGTGTGTACTGGCTTATTTGTTTATTTTAATATGGAAAAAAAATCCTTCTACAGATTTCTGTGCTTACGTCACTAAAAACTCCACCAGCCAGGAGCATATAATAACAGCCAATGAAGGGGCAGCAGTGGCATTAGCAGCTGGGTATCACCTGGCTTCTGACAGAACAGCCATGGTTTACTTGCAGGTAAGTTAGGATCTCATATGGGTATTTAGATTTTTCTGTAACTAATGTCTATACAGGGAGCTGCCGTGGTGTAGCCCCTAGACGCTCGCCTGGGAATCAGAAGGTTGTGAGTTCAGGTCGCAATGGAGCCGGAATATTGTAAAAACTGACTTTTTCTGGGGCCGCATTTAAAGGGGGGAAGAGAATAGACCAGCTGCCCCCTGACAAGCATGTCATGAAAGGCAGCTAATTGCAGGTTTGCCAAAACTAGATGTGAAATTGGGCTGAGCAGTGCACATATTGCAGCCAACCTATAATTTACAACGCAGTATATCCCCACCATCCTTTACAAGATTAAAGCTTTAGACAAGAAGAAGAAATCCCTGTGTTTGTCCTGGGGTCCTAGTATAGGGTAAACAAGAAGAGATCCACTGCCTACCTAAAAGCCTGACTTCAGAGTCGACTAATTGGAGCTTCCTTCGAAGTTGCAGTGCATCTGCCTGAGAAGCGAGGAACCAGCAGTCTGCATACAAATGAATCAGATCTGTAAAACGGATGCACACATACACACGGATGCACACATACACTCAGGTTCTGGTACAGGACTGCAGTGCAGAAGTGGATGAACAACCAGAACTTTCCACCAAAGTTTGCAGCTGGTGAACATAAGGAAGAAGAAGAAGATTTATTATGTGTGGACAAATTTTTAGACATGACTAAATTACCTATGTTTAATACTTGTAAGGGCTACACAGATTTAATAGACAGAAATTTGCTAACACCAGCAGACACTTTTGTAACTTTCTTTCTGATCTACCATTACCAGCAGACACTTTTCTGTAAGTAACTTTGTGTTTTAATCTTCTCTATGCGTGATCGAATTTAGTATAGCTAAAGGTATTTTATTTGTTTGAAGTTGACTGAATTTCCTTTAATATCGGCTTACTGTTTAATCTCATTTTAATATATATGTCTGCTGTCTTCCTCTCTCACTCTCTTTCCTTCCCTCCCTCCCTGATTTTCAAGATACCCTGCATACAAAATGAGTGGTCTGGGTCTGCTGGGATTATCAGCAGCATTCCTAAATCGCAGCAGGAATAGAGAATATACCTGTGCATACATACTTTTGAAGCAACACATGTGTATAGTAGATTAAACAGTATTAAATGCAACTGTCCTTTGTTTTCTTGCCCTATAGAATTCAGGTCTGGGTAACATGGTGAATCCTCTCATGTCATTGGCCAATCCTTCTGTATACAGCTTACCCATACTGCTTTTGATTGGTTGGCGAGGCGAGCCAGGGATCAAGGATGAGCCACAGCATGTAGCACAGGGACGAATCACAGAGAGTATGCTAGGTAAGCTTTTGTGTGTCAGAGGAGGAAATTGTTCACTGGTTCAGGACTAAATTTGAGGTTGAGATTGTTCACTGGTTCCGGACTAAATTTGAGGTTAAGATTGTTCACTGGTTCAGGACTAAATTTGAGGTTGAGATTGTTCACTGGTTCCGGACTAAATTTGTGGTTGAGATTGTTCACTTGTTCAGGGCTAAATTTGTGGTTGAGATTGTTCACTGGTTCAGGACTAAATTTGTGGTTGAGATTGTTCGCTGATTTAAAACTACTTTTTCAATAAAAGCTGTTAATCAATGCATTTAATTCTTATCTTGAGGTGTTCTGGTTTAAAGCAGCCACAGTTTCTTCTTTTTCTTCAGGAGTCTCAGGTGATGCACTAAGTCCATTGGGATGTCAGCTCAAGGTCTTTTTGGTTTCCTCATACTAAATCTGTCATTGATGTGGGATACAGTTACAGTTTTATGTGACCATTACCAAAGGTGGTAGAACCCTTAGTTGTATAGGTGTCTTCGACGTATGTATCCAATTCTCTCACGATCGGTCACATAGGAGTATAACAGAGCAGGGCACTCACTAGGCCTGGCAATCTGAAAGGTTGTCAAAGGCTGAGGGCATAGTCTAAAGCCATGTGGGTGTGGAAAGCAAGGAGAAACTACCTCATTATTATGACTAGAAACTTTTAGAAGCGAAGTATTTTTTAAATTTTTTATTACAGTTTTTAATACTGCTGTATATGTTGCTTGTAAACATTGAAAATGTCACAAACTTTGAATATCTAGGCTTCATAATAAGCAGCATAGGTCAAGAGGAGGATGGTGATAGCAATAACAGGTTAAACAGCATTAAAAGTATGGTTACAAACCAGTAAAGAACTGAAAATTTTGAGAGCATGCATCTGTCCTGTAGCAGTACATGGATGTGAGACATGGACTACCTCAAAGTCCTTATGGAAGAAAATAGGAGCTTTTGAGCTGAAATGCTATAGAAAGATTCTCAGAATAAGATGGACAAAGAAGAAAACAAATACTGATAACCTAAAAGATACGAATATCAGGGAAGATTGGCTAATTAACAGATTCTTGTCTTGGAAGCTGAAATATTTTGGCCGTATCAAGCGCCACAGCAGATTAGGGGGTAACAATGATAGCAGAAGGCATGGCGCTAGGAAGGAAAGGCATCAACTGACCAGCTTAAGGATGGGTACAGGATATAAGTGATGCCTTGAATATGAATGATCACAAGGTTGGAGAGCTGGCAAGAGAGTGGTGTTCTGCACAGGACCTGCTACATGATGATGCTGTTCTGTGACACCGACTTTCTTTTGAGACAAAAACTATGTGTTTCATTGTCCTTCTCTCTGTGACAGGATCATCAGCATCATCTTTCTTTATAAGATAGCCGTCTGTCTCATTGTTCCTCTGTATGATAAAACCATCTGCCTCCTTGCTTTTTCATAAAAATTCATGCCGACGTTGTGCCGACTTGCGTCTTGATGATGTCACCATTAACATTAAAGCTTATATGAGAATGCTGGTTAATTAAAACATTTTATCATTACCAGAATGCATGGAAATACCTTATGAAATTCTGTCAAAGAGTGAAACGGAAATGAGATCTGTAAGTTCTCTTTGTTGTTTTTATTTAAAAATAAATGCTAGTTTTTGTAGTAGTTTGCTTTCTCTAGCTGTGAATGTTGTATTTTTATTTTGACAATTCGTTTTGAGAAGAATAGAACTTAAAAACTTGATGATAACTGTCAAAATTGATAGAAACAGCAGGGGAAGGCAAAAGATAAATACCAAGATAGCTTGGCCACATGGGTGGGTAAAACAAAAGATTACTGTCCTGATCTGTGATTCATGTGGCATGTCAAAACATGACAACTAACACTTATTAGGAGGGCACGTGATAATGATAGAAAAAAAAGGGGGGGGGGGGGTGGAGCTGGTCAGATATGGGCTGATATAAATGGATTGTAATATCTTCTCATTACTTTTTAACAACACTTATAGCAAAGAATTAAGCCGAAGTTTAGATGACTGTTGGGCCAGTATGGCAAATAGGCAAAAGAGCTTTTGATACCTTATGCCATTGATTACGTGAGCACATACTGATCTGTTGTAACTGCTGCTTCCATTGACAGTGAACTGCATTTAGACTGTGTTTTAACATCTAATAGTTGCCTCATGTGCATGCCTGTGTATGGCACTGGCTTTGCTGAGACTTGTAGTCTGTGTCAGTCTTTTTTACAAGGGACAGTGATGGACATGCTGTGTTGTTTTGATTGGTGTCAGAATGATTACCTGATGTACAGTTACCAGTTTTTCCTCTGTTTAACTGTTCCTGTTTATTAAATGTACTGAAATAGTGCTGGTGACCATTTCAAAAATTCCTTTTTGTATCAAAAGACACTGAAAAGGGCTGAAGAACACTTTGAAGAGAAGAAGTCTCCATATGCCATTCTTGTCAAAAGTAAAACATTTTCCAGCTACAGCTTGCCACTGATAGATAATCCACAGTAAGTAACCTGCCAGTTTGTAATTTTAAAGTCTTAAATTGGTTTTGATTATATATAAAGGATTGCTTTAACCCTTTCACTTCCAAGCAGTTGCTTTAACTCCTTATATCCTAAGCTTTTTCTGCCTTCTATCCCCCACTATCAACCAGCTGAAGCCACATAATTCTGTCATTTACTACTGTATGCAGTTCACCCCGTGTCCTCAGTCTTTATCACCTCTTGGTGTATCTAAGCAGTTGAGCTTAAAAGCAAGAAATACTAAAGCCTGAAGATGTTCAGTAGACACTATGGGGACATAAGTACTGCTAGAGTTACGTACGAGTTTAAGAACTACATTCTGGCACTTGGGACATTCCCCAAAAATGCTCAATTCCCATCTTCAGCAGGAAGCGCAGAGTTTTAGTTCCAATGGTAACAGTCTGATTATATGTTGATCTCGCCTTTCCCCTGAGTGTTGAGCCTTAGCCAGATCTGCTGATCACACCTCGCTGCACCGTTCTCTTCAGACAACTGATCTTTTTGTGCCTCCGCCCTATTTACTTGCTCCCAAAGATCTTTACAGCATCTAGTTATCGTGCAGTACCAGTCAATCTAGCTGCCTGTTCATTTCTCAACTCACACCAGCATTTCCTGGAGAAAATATATATTCAGAGGTTACTAACTACCCGGGACCTCTTAAGCGATGCTTGCCACTCTGCACGGAGCATACCTATCTCTGCCTTTCACAGCATGCAACAGAATTGAAGTAAATTCTATTAAAGATGCAAAAAGTATGCACAGGCAAATCAGCGATTTGACAAGAAGAAAAAGGAAGTAGAAGTACTTAGAGAATTTGGAGTTGACATATAAACTAAACTGTTGAAATATTTACAACAGTGGAGATATACCTAATGATATGTTGAAGTCTGTGTTTGTAGCACTACTTAAAAGACCTGGCGCAGTTGAATGTGATGAATTTCGTACAGTCAACCTCATAAACAATGTCACCAAACTGTTACAGAATGGCGACTGTACTTATGGAATGTACCCTCAAAGAACAACATGCTATTGTGCGTTTGGGGGGGGGGGGGGGGGGGAGAGGGCTGCTTGCAAAGGACATTCATAAGGAAATGCTTCCTGTTTATATTGACCAGTATTTATCCCATAAAGTTGTGCATAGCTGGGGGAAATAGTTTTCTCAAGGAGGCTGTAAAATTGTTGATGAAGTTTGATGTGGTCGTCCTGTTGAGATTGCAACAGGTGCATCCTTGCAGCGTGTGCTAGAGATGATTAGAGGTGACAGGCGAGTAATGGTTGACTTGTAGCAGCTGGAATAGGGTGCTCACATGGTTCGCCATAAAACATAATTTATGATCGATTTTAAATTTTTTGGATGACGCAGAAGTTGAAAATGGAGTAAAAATGTGGTTTAGAAAACAGAGCACACAGTTCTATGCAGCAGGTTTGGGAGGGCTGATAAAATGATGGGACAAGAGCATCAGTGTTGGTGGAAATAATATTGAAAAAAAAAAAGGGACAGTGTATGTGTAAAAATAAATGGTTTTCCATTTTGTTATCATCTTTAGTTTTTTTTTTTTTTTTAAAACAGCCATTTGTGACTTGTTGACTTCCCCTCATATTTACCAACCTCATATTTTGATGCATTAATCAGCACTCCATGTGTGATATTGTCAAGATCACACCAGATGCCTTTATTTCTTTAAAAAAAAATTCTAATGTGCTTTTTTTTAATGACTGGGCCAGCTTTGGAGCCATGGTCAGTTTGTGAAGAAAAATTCCCTGCAGTTTTAACACATGATTACAAGCTGGCAGGCAAGATTGCTAAATGCTGCACTAAACAGGGATTGATTTGTGTGTGTGTGGCTATATAATTTTTGTATTATGATTTGTCTCAGGTTTCCTTTGACCAGAGAAGAGGCTCTATTCAAAGTTGTGGAATGCTTGAAGGAGGAGGATGCGATAGTTGGAACTACTGGGATGTTGTCTAGAGAACTCTTTGAGTACAGGTAGGATGAATGCTTTAATGTGCAGGTTGTTGCCAGAGTTTGTTCTTTTTTTTAAATATTTTTTATTTTTTTAAAAATAAATTGAAAGCAGTAGTCTGTTAGAATTTAAATAATGAGGACACAATAAACTGCACATGTGTTGCTTTGTGTGCGTGCGTGTGTATGTGAAAATATCATCAGCATCATCAAATAGTTTGCCAGCTGGCGTAGGCGTTCAAGCATCTCCACAGATCTCGGTCTTTGGTGTTCTGGATCTATTTCACTGATGATATTCATCCATGCCACTGTCTTAGGCTGTTCACTATCATTTCTCTTGGTCTGCCTCTGCTTGTTCTCCCTGTGATCTTTCCAGTCATCCCGATATATTTTTTTTTTCTCCTTACATGACTAAAGAACTAGGTCTCCTTCTCATTGTTGTAAAAATGTTCTACTTTCATTAGCCATTTCCAGGCAATTATTACTAGTTATTCTGGCAGTCCAAGGTATTCGCAACATTCTTCTCAAGAACCTCATCTCATTTGCCTCCGAAGTCTTCTTAATTTGTAAATTAAATGGATTCCTTAAATGTATTCGGTGGACCACCTGACGTGGAAAACTGGCTTAGCTTAGCTTTGCTGTGCCTCAGTCGCTGCATACTACAGAAATATGCACGGTAAGAAATCACATTGTAATGCCATTTTAGGGATTACCCTTAGAGGTCAGAGGCAACCCCAGTTAACCTAACTAATGGGTAGGAGGCCAGTCTTAGATGACCATTGCCTGAGACAGGAAACCCCCCGAAAGAATGTGGGACATGGCTGCATGAAGATGAGGCAATTTCCGCTGGTTGATTGCAGGTCTGAGAGTAACAATGCAAGAATTAGGTGAGAAAATGACAGATATTCAGGAGAGAGATTGAAGATCAATCTGTTTGTGGCGCTTGGATGGAGGCCTGAGTGGTGGTTCTCTACCTATGTCTCGACCTGTTCAGCAAGGGATTTAGTTAATTAAAGTTAGTGATTTCGGCAGAGTGAACCTGGCTATGTATATTGGCTTGTTTATGCCAGCAGCTGCAATGTGGGAGCTGGGTTGGTTTGAGAAAATGTGTTTCCATGACGGTTTATTTTGTACATAGAGTGCATTGTACATGGTTACTGTGTTGAGACATTGATGCCTGAAAGTCAGCCTTAGACAGCTGTTAGCAATGGCTGACTGACAGACAGTGCACGGCGTGTAGCAACTAATTTACCAGATTAACAGAAAGCAAGGCTCACCTGGGAATCCAGAGTTTGTGGGTTCAGATGTCTTTACCAAATCTACAACTGTTTTTGCCAGCTTTGGCATAGCCAGATAGAAACAGCAAGTCCTGTTCCAATGTAGTGTAGGTAGGCTGGTCAACCTAGGGAGCAACATCACACACATTAACCTATGCAGAGCAGTAGCAAGACGCATCAGTCTCATGTTATGTAAATAAAAGAGCATGCTAGTTAGCATAAGTTAGAAGGTAGGACTTCCATTAAAAAGATGGGCACTGCATTTGAATGTATTTCATTTGTTTTATGTAATTACATTCACCTGTTATTATACTGTCCTGTGTTGTAATAAGATTTTTTGTGACCTAAGGTGAGAAAAGATGTTTCTAGCAAAGTGGTCAGTCTGTTTGCTTCTTGCAGTTAAGGTCATATGTTTACTTTCGGACTGTTTCTTTCTATTTACAAGTGCCCCCCGCCCCACCCACTAAAGATCCCTTGAGATTATTACTGGAGTACAGAGCTTGAGTTTTGTGGGTTGTAGGGTAGCAATCGTCTTTCAAAAGAGATCCAAGCTGTGTGGGATTAAACTTGATGCCCTGAGGTCTATAATTATGTTATTTAAACTGTATGTTTGTCGTGACTGCAGTAAACATATGCTATAACATATATTGCAGGGTCTCCATGCAGATGGGCCATGCGCGTGATTTCCTGACTGTTGGATCTATGGGTCATGCCTCTTCCATTGCACTGGGAATAGCTTTGCAGAAGCCAAAACGACAAGTAAGTGACAATGTCTTAGGTAACAAAGTTTGAAAGATTGACTGACTGCAGAGACCATTACACAGGGCCATTATTGTTCTGCTTTAGATCACACCAGGAAAAATCTTATCAAGAAGTTTGTCTTGGTTAATCACTTTTGTAACACTTAAGGTTGCTTGTCTTTGTCATAGTTTATTCTCAGCTTTGAAGCACTTAAAAGTGCTTTTTTTTAATGTATTATCAATGTTCATATGTTGTGTTTTGATGCAGGCTTTGTAGTCACGGAACTTATTTTTTGTTTCGGATTTTACTCTTGATAAGCAGACCAGTTCTGCTTTCTGGTTTGTTCATTGGTCCACAAATTTTCTGTCTTGATAGCAACTTTTTGCTTCATTTATCAGCAGTTTGAGTGATTTAATGATGTTGTATTTAAATAATGCGTACACAAACAATTTATTGCCAGGCATATTTCACTGTATCTCGTCAGGTGCGTTACATCAACATAAAATGAAGCACACAAAAACTGAATAAATCCAACTAAAATGCGATTAGTTTTTTCGACACATTGTGGTGTGTTTTGGCCACCGTAAGTTCACCATAGTCAAGTGACTTACCAGGGTAACTTCAGATTTACTATAAATTCTGTCTGCTTACAAGGGAGGGGGTTGTTGGTTTTAATTGTTAAAGCTTCGGCCATTCTTAACAGTTGCCTGTTCTGTGTGTGATAAACCACACAGAAAGCACTGTTGATGTCATTTACATGTCCGGAATTAAGTAGATGATGTCCTATGCAAGAAATGGGTTCTCTTCTCTTGACTGGTCTTGACACCCTTGAAAAATCACTGAGCTGTGTGTGTAGCCATTTGGGTATGCATTTGCAAGCTGTTTCTCCGTTCGACCGATGTAAGTCAACTGGCACTTACATGTAAATTGGTAAATAAATTTGGGCTTGGTGTATGGAGAAACGAGCTGTTTAATAGGTGGGGTTGGAATAGGAGTGGTCTTGTACCTTATTACTGGAACAACTGCAAAGAATGTTTGGCCAACTGCTGTTTTTAGTCAATCCTGCATGACGTCATCACCTCGATAAGTCAGTTGGATGAATACTCATAGTTTGGATACTGCCCTTTCATTCAGGGTAGGGATGTTGTATTTGTATTTCTATTTCATTAATCTATAGATGCTGTATCTAAAGGGTGTTTTACTTTATATGCCATTATCCTAATATTCAGTCTTTATGATGGCTGAATTTCTACTTTATTAGTCAACATTTAATGATGGCTGACTTTCTGCTTAATTATTATATAGTTAATGATGGCTGACTTTCTGCGTTATTATTCTACAGTTGATGGTGGCTGACTTTCTGCTTAATTATTATATAGTTAACAATGGCTGATTTTCTGCATTATTCTACAGTTGATGATGGCTGACTTTCTGCTTTTTTACTCAACAGTTGATTATTGTTGACTTTCTAATTTATTATTCTCCAGTTGATGACTTAGTGGTTTTTTTACTCTACAGTTGATGATGGCTGACTGTTTACCGGTTGATAGCTGACTTTCTACTTTATTTGCTCTACAGATTTTTTGTCTTGATGGTGATGGGGCAGTCCTGATGCACATGGGCTCTCTTGCAACAATTGGACAGCAGGGACCAGAAAATTTCAAACATATAGTGTTCAACAACGGTGCCCATGATTCTGTTGGTGGCCAACCAACCGATGCAGCAAACCATGAAGAATTTGATTTGGGGCAAATTGCTAAAGGCTGTGGATATAGGGAGGTAAGATAAATACATCAGAGTGTTAATTTAATTAACTGTAAATTAATTTTTCTGCTTTTTCCTCGCTGTTGTTGTTCTTCTTCCTACTACTCCGTTTTCTGTGTCTTATACTACTCCTTGAACTTCTTCTTTTTCTCCAACCTTTTTTGTTTTAATCTTCTGTTCCTCCTCCTGGAAGTCACCGTGGCATTGGCAGCTAGACGCCCACCTGCAGATCGGAAGGGCGTTGGTTCGCGTCCTGATAAAGTTGGACTTTTTAAAAAAAAATTACCTTGACTCCCAGGACGACCCAGCTTTGTGTGGGTACAACGTGCAGTCCTTGGGATGGGATGCTGACCACATCACCCACAAAGTGCCGGGGGGGAAAAACCTTCATTCTGCTTAGTCTTTATTTTTATACTCTGCTTTTTCGTCTTTCTCCGTTAACGCCATTGCTGCTTCACTATTATCATATTCTTCAGCTTTCTGTATTTTCATTTTTTTAAAAATTCCGTACAGCTTGATTTTTATGTTAATGGCGTCTTTTGTGACATCACTTTTGCAGTAGCATATTTTGACATGTACCACTTTTGACATTTTACCTGTGTAAATTGTTCTGCGATAAAAGTGAAAAAAAAATTTCAGTTGAGGACCCTTTTTATGCCATTGGTGTGTCAGGAACATAGTGCTAGACTGTACTTTTATAGACCAGTCGGCCATCTATGGGTGACGTGGTCAGCATTCTTTAGGCCATCTTTACTTCACAGGACATAGTTGGTACCCATTGTAGGCTGGGTCGACTTGGGAGCCAAGGTCAGTTAAAAAAAAAAAAAATCTGCCTCAGTATGGAATTGAACCCTAGAGCTTCATGCTACTATATGAGCATCTAGCCACTACACTACCACAATTTCCTAGTTCTATGGTAATCAAGTATTATTATTTATTTATTTGTCTGTTTTATTTTCTTTAGGCACTAGTGGCTTACACAACAGAGGATATAGAAGAAAAAGTGAAATACCTACACAAAGCCAAGGGTCCCATCTTTCTGGAGCTGAAAGTAAAACTAGGATCCAGATCCAACCTCGGAAGACCCACCCGCACAACTCACGAAAACAAAGAAGATTTTATGGAGTTTTTAAACCGATAAGATGTAGTCTTATATGAAAGCATCTGCTGGGATGGTATGAATGTTAGAGGAAGTATTTAAGGATCAGTTGAGGATTTTGTGAAAGTAATACAATTGAATATCAGATATATCAGTCTGATTTTATTTCTTTAATTTATATACATGATTTTGAGGGATGATTTTGGGAGTATATAAAGTTATTTTGGGAATACATAATTTTATTTATTACTTATGCAAAGTATATGCATTCTTACACAGTCTTAAGATGTGCCATTTTTTTCATCTTTGCTTCTGATACATATATCGAAGTTACTTTTATTCATTTCTGTTTCTATGTGAACAGCATTGTCTGTACAGTTAATGTTTCATTTTGGTTTCCACACAACTTCAGGTTTAGAAAGCAATTCTCTTGCCCCTATTGTATTCAGTACTGATTAGTGTTTAGTGTCTTCATGTATGAGTATGGGTATATGCATGCATGTGTGTATCTTCATATATGAATATATTCATGGACAGACAAACATCAGTGATTTAGGGATGGAAAAGTCAGAGGAAAATTGATTACCTGTTTTTGCACTTCTAGGTTGAATAGGAAATATCTCTAATTTAGTATCTTTTTAACAGGTTTTTTTCTTCTTTGTTTACAGACGAGTTCAGCAGTGTTTTTGGCTCATTAATTTCTTTCTTGTTCATTTGTTGTATTGGAAACTGAGGAGTTTAGTTTACCAGCTTACCAAGACAGTAACCCGTGGTTGAATAACCACTAGTGGTTAAAATATTGTGGTGATTTATTTGGCTGATTTGTACATTTATAAAAAATGTATAAACCTCGTGGCAATTAGGTAGAGATAATATATTGTGATGAAATTATTTTACATAAAAATAGAGACCTTGAAATTATTAGGTAAATTAAATATAATGTAATGAATTATTTTGCTGATTTTTACATAAAAATATAGACCTGGAAATAATTAGGTAGTTTTAATATAATGTGATGCATTTTTTGGCTGATTTTTACATAAAAATATAGACCTGGAAATTTTTAGGTAATTAAATATAATGTGATGCATTTTTTGCTGATTTTTACATAAAAATATAGACCTAGAAATTTTTAGGTAGTTTAATATAATGTGATAAATTATTTGGCTGATTTTTACATAAAAATATAGACCTGGAAATTATTAGGTAGTTTTAATATAATGTGTTGGGACTGAGCCTCGAGAGACAGGGGGTAAGAAGTGTTGGTGTTGTGGGTAGTGGGTTCCCCCCCCCCCCCCCCCCCCTTACTTCACCCTAGGTCTAGTGAATATCTGTTCACGAAAGGAGCGTCCATCGTGGTGTCAGCCTCTTGACCTAGCAAAACCTCTCTTACTTCAAGACCTTTGTGCGTGGCGAAGAGTCACAGCCTCCCCGAGGTAGTCCTGGTAACTGGGGGTGCGAATCCCCAGGCAAAACACAATGGATCTAGAGGAGCAAACCTCGATAATAAACCCGGTGCACCACACCGTACTGCCCCCTGTGGGAGGGAAGGAGCCAGAGGTGTGCTGAACAGTCTTAGGAATGGAAACAAGTATGCTAACCACCCTGAATACCGGAAACTATCGTGAAGGCACAGGGACTCAGGACGTGATGATCCAGTTGCCCCAACTATTCATGCTTAGAGCCATGAAGAGCTCAGCTAAACCTGCAGGCAATCTGGTGGCGGGGAATGAGCACACTGTGAGCCCCACCTTAGCTACGTGTTAAAGGGGAAGGCAGAAACACAACCCATATTTCCTTTAGAACTGGTACAGGGCATTTCTAGCTGCTGCCCGGGGAGGTAGGTAATCCACAGACATCCCAGCACCACAATCCATGAATATGTCAATATAATGTGTTAAATTATTTGGCTGATTTTTACATAAAAATATAGACCTGGAAATTATTAGGCAGTTTTAGTAAAATGTGATGCATTTTTTGCTGATTTTTACATAAAAATATAATCCTGGAGACAATTAGGTAGAGATATTAATATAATGTGATGAATTGTTTTGGCTGATGTTGACATAAAAATCTGATGCACTTCCTTTTCTTGGGGCAAAAGTTAATGGATAAGGGGAAGTATTGGATAAGGAGAAGTATTGAAATGCCTGTAGTTACCTTGATTTCAGTATTATCTGTTCATGTTGAAAAAAGTATTCAAGTGAAGATGTCTTCTCGCTGGTTGATGGTGTTCACATGATCCAGAACTTCGGGTGATTGACATCACATAAATAAGTTCAGCTGTGGCATTCCAGATTTTGTTTATGTGACATCATGACCTGTCTGGTGTCATTGTCATTACATTTATGTTCTGTGTTGTTATGTTTAGTGTCATCATCACTATAGATGTATAATGTCTTTTACTACATATGTATCTAATCTTCTTCTTTTGTTCGCTTGAAATAAATTATCTATATTTGCAATGTTGTCTCTAGTATGAACTTCACAGTTTTTTTGTAATAAACTCAGCGACCCGTAAAGTTTGACTTGCACCGATGTTTCTCTTGACCAAAAGTTTTGCATTGATGTGTTGTATTTGGGACAGTCTTGGAGGACATGATCTGTTGTCTCAGGTGCCAGTCTACATGTGCACATGGCTGATTTGCCTATTTTAAATTGTGTGTGCATGTGGCTGCGAAGTCGATTATGTCTTGATCTAAGGCGTAGCATTGTGTCTAATCTAATTATCCTGACAATTATGTTTTCTGCTACATATCTGATGTCATCCTTATGTAAAAATAAAGTAAAAAAGGACCCTTTTCCACACCTTCAGTCATAATGGGCATATAGGGCTAGGCCTATATTTTATAAACTAATGAGCACCTGCTGTACGATGGGGGTAACATCAAAATGACTGCCTTTACTTCCCATGACTATACCTGGTACCCACTCAAAGCTGTGTGGACCTGGGAGCCAAGGCGTTTTGAACAAGAAGTCTGTCAGGACCCAAATCCACAACTTCCTCAGGCGAGCGTCTGGCCGCTGCACCACAGTGGCTCCTGTCTTCCTCATGTCATCGTTTTCTGCTACATTTCTGATACCATCATGACATTTATTTTATGCGAGTTTATTTGTGCCCTTAAAATTATGTTGCTGTTTTAAATAGTAATTTTTTTATTATTTCATGTTTACACTGTACTTTTGCAGTGGAATTGTTTAATGATTGATATTTTTGACTTTTAAATGATAGTCAATTGTATGCTTGTGATGTGAAAGGCACTAAGAGAGCAGACGCCCTGGCTGACAGTGTGACTATAAGGAATGAGCCATCTACGGACAGGAGAGTGACATAATCAATGCTAAACAAGAGATTAAAACGCTGTGAAGCTTTCAGTTTCGTGAAAAATTATTTTTCACTGAATAGACTGCATACCGTGGGTGTACCAGTTGGAGCTGCGAGACAGGAAAACCATGCGTGAGCCACCCATGGTTACATCCGCCAGAACAGAATGGGTAGCCTAAGAATACTTGGAGACGTACTCAGGAGGAGATCGGAGCACTTGAGGTCATGTCTCATGTGAAGATGATCTTTAAATAAATAAGGACATGGTCTGGGTATGTCAATCAGATCAGCATGACCATGCTTAGGAGAAGATGGGAACACTTGTAGGCTTTCATGAAATGCAATGAAAATGATCCTGAAACGAACAGTACTTGTGCATGCTAGGCAAACATTGGTTTCTTATTTCAGTGCCTTTCATCCATGAGAGAGATAAAAGATCGTGTGTTGAGAGATTCCTGTGGATATTCTGAAAGAAGACTTTACTGGGTTGCGATAATGAACTCCAAGATTGATATTGTGGTCACCTTTATTTCCCAAGACATTACTTGGTGCTCATTTATGGCTAGGTCAAACTAGGAGACAATGTTTTTTTTGGGGGGGTGGGGATCTGCTTTAGTGTGAATTTGAACCACAGATCTTCAGGCCTGCAAGCAAGAATCCTGCAGGTAGAAGTAAAATCAAACTATTTTATAACTCTTTCAGTCAGTTGCAAAAAATTTGTGTTGTGTGTCTTTTACGTGACGTTGCAAACCAACCCCAGCATTTTTTTGGCTCTTTGGTTTTACTAGGCAGTTTTACATTCAATTAGTTTGACATGGGTAATTTTACATTCAGTAGCTTGCCATTGCTTTCTGAATTGTCGCTTTCAATGGTCAAAATCAACACAAGGCGGTCACATGGAAATGTTATTTTAACTAGTTTTAGCCTAAGAAATTCTGCATGGCCCTAAATACTCAAAAAGACACCACAACAATGGTAATAACTGGCATATAATAGAGGCAGATGGATTTAAAATAACAATACAACAGAATGGGGTAGTGTACCAACTTTAATGAGGCACAAGAAGTTAAGGTGAGTATATGTCTTTTCAGGAAAACTAATAAAAGGTGTGTACTACAGGATCAATTAAAATAAAGCTAATAAATGTATTAGGTTTAGGTTTAAGCAACGGATCAACATCCTGGCAGTAACCTATAAGTGCTCTCTTCTACTTCTAACTCAAGTCTGAGTCCGTAGGATCTCAGCTCAGTGCACACATTCTTAGCACCGGCGAGGATCCTGAAATACTTTGGGTAGATTTTTAACTCCAGATTTTGCCAAGGCAGAGCCGTAAGGCTACTCTTTTCGATGTCCAACTGCCAAGGGAGTTAAGTGAAACACAAAATCAAAAGCAACAGCCTATTCTATGTAAATTATATAACTGCAAGTTTTACCAGGGCAAGTGCAGGTTCACAGCCATGACTCTTTGTTATTATATAATGCAGTCATACTTATAGTCGTCCCCATGTGGGATACATTTTTTTGTTGTTTGAAGCCCTACCCTGGCTTTTGCCGGGGGCCCTGAAAATAGGCGGGCCACAAATATGGCCTCATGTCTGAAAGGGGTTTCTGGGAACTCTGCACAGGTGCTCCTCATCCACATGGTGGTACTTTGTGTCACCGGGTGTTTATCGCTTGTGTGATGTCCTGTTGGGGTACAACTACCTACCTACCTTAT